AGTATGAGACCCGAGTCTGACAATTCTCAAAACAGCATGCAAAGACTATGGTACTGCTAAGATTATTGTATGAATTATCCTTACAATATTCCCAATATTCTAGTAATGAGGCCACGAGTCTGACAATTCTCAAAATAGCATGCAAAGACTATGGTACTGCTGGGGTTATTGTGTGAATTATCCTTACAATATTCGCAATATTCTAGTAATGAAACCACGAGTCTGACAATTCTCAAAATAGCATGCAAAGACTATGGTACTGCTGCAGTTAGGTTGAGGATTTACGAAGGAACTTGAGAAAGTGGAAGTGAATTGCTTGAAATGAATACAAATTAAAGGAACTGGAATGACTGAGCAAAATCAAATATGGAACATCACTATTGTACCATATCCTAGTAGATATAGATATTTGCAACATGTGATGTGACTGTATTACAGCAGATAATTAAAATACAAGGGTAGAGTAGAAAGCCAAATCCATTCCGTCATTCCTATTTCGATAAGTTGATAGCATATACAAGAAAAGCTACGGTGTTACAATGAAGGCGATGTGACGACTATTCTCAAAACAGAATACAAGGACTTTGCTACTGTTGAAGTCAGGTTGCGGATTTGCGGAGGAACTTGAAAGTGGCAATGAATTGCTTGAAATGAATAGAAATAAATAGTAATGATTGTACAGAGAATATTACCAATATTCTGGTAATGAGACAATGAATGTGTTGTGCAAAGTTATTGAATTTCCTTATTTTAGTTCGTTGACTGAGCAAAGTGTACTATTATGATCAATCCATGCAACAGCAACGCGCCATAATCCAACTGTAATGACTAAGCAAGATCGGATATAACGATAAACTACTATACCATATCCTAGTTCGCGTGGATATTTGCAACATGTGATCTTATTACAGTCGATAATACAAGCGTAGAGTAGTAAGCCAGATCCATTCCATGGAATGTGTTATTCTACAAGTTTATACTACGTAAAAGATGAGCTACAATATTACGATGAGGACGGTGTGATGACAATTCTCAAAATAGCATGCAAAGATTATACTATTACTGGAGCTAGGTTGAGGATTTGGGAAAGAGCTCTATTAGCAGAGTATTGATGCTAATAGTTATTCAGACAGAGCGGCACAGAATCAATTTGTAATAATATAAAGTACGTCAGTGACTGAATATTATGTTAGTCTTACAAAAATAGAGTAAATTCAGCAACAAAAGTACCCCAAAAAGTACCCTAACGTTAGTTATATAGACATTACAATTCGGTATTGTTTTTATTATCATAATTTAACGTAACTTGTCCTAGACAAACC